ATCATTATTGTAGTTGTATACGCAAAGTTCAACATAACACATTTTATTTGTTTTACGCATGAAACAATTTTGCTCCTAAAATTTTAGGTTTAGGAGCATTTTGCTCCTAATTTCTTAGTGCTTAGGAGCATTTTGCTTTTTGCCAAAAAGTTAACTTCCTAGGCTGCATGGATGTAGTAATTTCTCCTGACAATTTTTCTTCAAAGCTACGGTAACTCAAAAGTGATGACAGATTCATTTATAGTGATCTACTTCTCAAAAATCACATTGCCTTCAAGCAGTCCCAGTTGGTTTAACTTCACTTGTATATTTCCGATAATTCTAGCCGAGTACGTTGTTATGTTTATTTGCTTTCTATATTTGAACACAACAAGCTTCCTTTCAGTAAGCTAGCAAGTGCCAATTCTGTTTTATTTTACGTGTTAAATAATGAACACTTGAAATAGTAAATGTGCATATCAGATTGACAACAAAACGTGTAAGATTAGATCAAGCATGGTGGGATTTCTTCAGCGTTGTTGTCAACCCACCAGCTTTGCGGGCAAGCTGTCAGTTGTGGTGTAAATCTCAAGAGCAGCGAGCCCACTACACTAAAACTCTTTGGGAAGAACACTGATATTGGCTAAATAGAAAAAGCCGAAAGTTATCATTAGCAGCCATATATGCAGTATAAGGAATATCAACAATGCTGCCATAGATCCATTGATATAATATAATAGTGAAATTCCGGTCAATGGGTGGTGCCATTTTGTTTGTTTGTTTCACAAATTATGCAAAGCAATACAGAATATTGTTTAATGATAAGGCAATCATTTTCAGGCCATGAACTGATCAGCGGCTACACACCAATCATGCATGGTGCCATCATAAAATCCACTCAATTCGTGTCTGAACTAATACTTCAATTTCTTCAGTTCGCTTTGAAGTTCTATGGTCGTGTCAGTGTATGAAATTGGCCATAAATTATTGCAAGACGTTACAACAACTCAAAAGTTGCCAGTCCTGGTAGAAAGTTACTCATGTTTTCAAACTCATTACAAAATAAAATACAAAACAAATTGTCAATGTTAAACTTGACAATTTGCTGCTTTTTGCTGTGAGAAAGGACTGGGCATATGTTACAGTAAATCTTCTGCTTACCCGCAGTCATTCATGATTAGCAACACAAATTCTAATTTTCAGGATGCCACAACACAGACTTGCAAATTACTCATGGATGGGCAGATTTTAAAACACTGGTTACGTCAGTTCTATTTTTAGTAAACCATTAAACCACTCAGCTGCACTTGCATGCCTGGCATTGCCTGCTACATATTTACTCATGAATTGCAAGTATAGCATATTAATAGCAAGTGTGGCCCAAGTCGCTAAGAAAGAGCTACTGTAAAATAAACTTTATTTTCACTTGGAGTTAATTATCAGTGACAAAAAAATCCAGTAAATGTACCTTTTTTCAAAAATCAGTGAAAGTGAATTCCATCCATAACACCCCAAAAGTCTTTTCAGCGAAAATTAATTCCAGCTGAAATAAAGTATTTTACAGTATACAGATAATGTGTGTATATGTAGAAGATATGGAAGACATCTAGCGTATATACAAGTACACTGAAAGTTTGATAATGGTGTACTTCTGGTCAATGGGCACATTGCGAGAAGCAAGACAGTTCATTCATGATAAAGCATTTTCAGAATGTTGGTCAATGTTTTCTTGCAGCGAAGCATGAATCGTGCATGGTGCATTCATGAATTTTGCTTAACTCATGAGTTGACTAATAACTCGACTTCCGCAGTTCAAGTACTGCCCCCCCCCCCTCAATCGAGCTCTCAATGTTCTGCGGTTACGTCAGTTTTATTTTAAAGTAAATCAACAAACTACTCGGCTGCACTCGTTCGCTTGGCATTGCCTGCTACATATTATTTCACATGCCAGACATGAAAGACACATTTTAAAATATATAAATGTTCACTACCTACAAATGATATGCAATAGCTCAAAATAGCAGTGTACTTGTGTACACGTTATGGAGGCATTGGGTGTGGTCATTTAATCCAGCTAAACACGCAGAGCAAGGTCAAATCATGCGAATAAACCGTGAAGCTACACTAAAGCTTAGTTGATTAACCTGAAAGAAATAGTAAAATGTGTTGTATTTTTCGAGACAGACTAAGTTGTAAGTCACAATATATACGTAAATTACATAGCATGGGAACAACCATACACATCAACTTACGTGTTGCGAACCACTGAACGAGCCCTGTCGAACGATCGAGTCTGTACTGCCATTGTGATCTCTCTTCTTCGACTTTTTGCCTTTGAAGATCAGGGCACAGCAACAAGTGCTCATGAATTCATCTGCTTGTGGTCACCTAGACTGCTTTAAAAAATCTGAAGGCACTGACAGCAACTCATTATCTAGTGCACCGCCATCTTGGGAAAACACCTCAGCGCATTGTATCTTGGGAATAGTTTCAACTAAAATTTCCCGTGGGTCTTTGCATCTGGAATGTTGTATTTTAAAATTGAAGTTATATACATCTAAATAACTGTTTAACACACAGAGTACATTAATTATACAAAATACACTGGAAAATATTCAATAAACGTGTGTCATTTACATTAATGATATGAGGTTTTCGCGTACGCGTTAATTCGACTATTTGTCCCTCTATGTAGAGAAACCCCTAATAATAACAAAAATAGTTTCACCCGATACCGCCATATTTTTTTCCAGCTTGCGGTGCGCGTTGTGATCGTTTGTATTCGTCTCAATTTCGGAAGAAAACCGGTCAAAATTAGTCGACATTTTCAATATTTTTGACGCTGACGGTTCGTAAACAAACAGAGATGCCGGGCACAGAGGAAGAAGTGATCCGGATTGGAAAACAATTGGAAAAGATGGTTTCAAAAAATGCTAGCGTAAGTCACTCATGGCGTGTAACACTAACAGTTTGTTTTGATGTTTGTATGGAGTTAGTGAATGAGTGGGTTAGTGCGTGTGTTGGGTGGGGGTGGGGGTGGGTTGGGAGTGGTTGGATTTCGATAACATCAGCTGATTCACTATGTTTAGTCGATTCATTGCCTATCATTGTATATTCTTAGGACCTAGGTAATGCCTTTGATTTGCTGAAATCGTTGAAAGAACTTCCAATGACGCTAGAAGTGCTTCAGGTGAGTTAGTTGACTACTACGGTAGTATATCGTATGATGTCATTCATGGAAAGCTATATGATATGATACTTTCCTTCCATGGTCATAGTATCCTAGAGTATGCTGGAGATCATCTAACAGTTAGCATACATGTGATCTCGAGTAGATTCAACTATTTTATACTTCTCTTGCTATTGTGTCAAATCGAAATTACTAAACATTAACTTTTTTTAATTTTGTCTTTGATGCAACCACTAGGCTTAGGATTAGGCTTGATAGATTATCTAAGTATGTGGCTGGTTGCCCAAGTCAAACTGTAATTATAGCTTTGAAATTACAAAACTTCCCAAATTACCAGTCCCATGATTTACATAATGTCAGTTACCGGTAGTATATCTATCGAAAGAGAGGAAGAACTTTTTCTAAATTAAACAATTTCACAGAATTACTTAACACTGTTATTGTTATCAGAATTTTGTTGTACTAGTAATAGACACAACATGAATGTAGTACAACAATCTTCTGTTTTGAAGCGTCAATGTTGAGTTTATCATATCGTATATGAATACCCTAATTGCTCTAAGGCATGAATTGACACATTTGATTGTACATGTATAACTGCTTGACCTTGTGTGCAGTACAGTATGCATGCATACATTGTACAGTCTTATCTCATCAGTAGTTCTTGTTATGTAATGTTGAATTTCTGATTGCATATGAATTATGCTAGTTTAATAATCTTGTATCATATTTTTTGAACAAAATAGAAGAACATAGTTTTCTAAATGACTGTCATTGGATGTCATTTTTGAATACAGTATGTCTTTTTAGTCCCCGTTCGAACGAAGTCTGAAAACGGGGACTTCCGTGTGTCCGTCCAGAGTCACATCTCAGAATCCCTTGGACCGATTCTGTTCATTCTTTGCATGTGCCTAGTACTTTATGTGGGACATATGCACATGCAGTGGTTTAGCGATTCGATTCAAAATGGCCGACTGGCAGCCATCTTGTTTTTTGAAAATGTCGTATTTTAGACATGCTTTGTCAGTTTTCATTCAAACTTGGTACATAGATTATACATGTTAGGATACATGTCCCAGATCGTTCATGAGTTCCTGAGTCTGTCAGTCCGTCCGTGTGTCTGTCCGTCCATGCGCCAGTCTGTCCAGAGTCATTTTTCAGAATCCTGTGGACCGATTTCGATCATTCTTTGCATGTGCCAAGTACCTTATGTGGGACATATGCACATGCAGGTCTCATGCCACTAATTAACCAATGGCTGCTCGTAGCCCTCAATTTAAATGAAATTAATGAAACCAATGAAATTTTTTAAATATTATTTTTCTCAGGTGCTCCCTGTTTGAGGGCGTAATCACCTGGGTCAGAGGTGAGACCAACATGTGGTCTTTTGTTTACTACTTAGCGGCTGTGTACCTGTGGGTTTATTCTGTGTGTTAATGGATGTTCTAATCTTGGTGTTTTTCCAGTGATTTCTCTTGGTGCAATCCAAATACAGTAGGTGTGTCTTGTTTACCTGAGATTTGCAAGAGTTTGAGCTGGCCAACATGTTAGTTTTTTTCATATGGTTGATTACTGGCATGTTGATTTCCCATTTTTGAGCCATATTTTCAACTTTCTTCGTCATTTTCATATAGCAATCTCGTCATATGTTAACATTGTCGTCTATGGAAATTCAATTAGTGGTATGAGCCCTGCAGTGGCTTAGCGATTTGATTCAAAATGGCCGACTGGCAGCCATCTTGTTTTTTGAAAATGTTGTATTTTGGACATGCTTTGTCAGTTGTCATCCAAACTGGCCGATTGATAGCCATTTTACTTTTTGGCCTTACTACTATATTTCCACAATTTATGTACCATTTTCATTCGTATTTGGCACATACATCACACATATCAGTGTGTTTCATAATCAGATCAAAGATGGTCGAATAATGGCTGTTTTTATTTTTGGCCATATTGCTACTACATGGAACACATAAACAATCTGTTTTATACGCCACTTGGAACTCAAGTTTCAAGGACACGCTCGTGACAACCCCTCAATTTTATGACGAGCACAAAGAGAACTTTCAAAAATTTAACGGGGACTGTGTCATTTTCAATGACTTGTTGTAATTGACGCTTGCATAAGGCAACATTTCATGAGTCTGTTTTTTAATTGAAACCCACAAATTGTGGAAGTCACTTTTCACCTTTACGGCAGTGTAACTGAATTGGGCCCATTGACTTTTATTTTGTGCAAAATTTTTTTATAAACAACATTATGAAAAAAAATCAAGTGAAAAAGGTATATAAATTGGGTAAACAGTCAATGATATTCCAAAATTGGGCCACGCCCCCCTCTCTCACCACCTGCGAGTTTTTTCGGCATTACGAGTGTTGCCGAAATGGCGCCACCAACTGGACCATGAAGCAGGAGATAGCTAGCAGACAGGATTGTTTACCATTTTCCATACGCACGCTTTAGTAAACCAGCATATACAACGAGCTACCACAATCGTTATCATGGAGAAACGTAGCCGTGGTTTGGCAGCGTTTTGGGTCCGGGAAAGTATTTTGCTTCGTCTGTCAATTATATACACATCGTCGGTATACAGCCGGACCCTAACGCCGGCTAGAGGAAACGCTGTGTTGTTGACGGGTGTAGCAAAACACACAGGGAATATTGGGATGGACCTTCTCCTTATAACGTTATCTGTCCATTTTACGCCCGAATCATTTATCTGTACAGTTTCATTTGTTTTGATCTTGCAGTTGTAGGTATTCGTCCTACCGGAAATAGAACACTTGATCTATCGGACGCACACAAATTTACATTTTAGAGTGAAGATTTTCTGACATTACCAATACATTGTTCAGGTTGAGTTCAATAAAAATAACAACGTTAAGATTTTCGGTCATGATGTTCAAACTCTGTGCCTGAATCGTCACAGTCAAACCTGTATGGGCCAATTTGTCCCTGGCACTTTAAAACAAAATCGTGATATCTCTCGTTGTCATCATATTCCTAGATCTCATAACTCTCGTCAGACGATGATAAGATAGATTCCGTGTCGCTTTCCGAGCACTGCATGCTGTAGCGGCCATTGTGAAACGATGACAAATTCACCCCTTGTATGCTAATTAGGTTCTCTAGCTGGAGCCTCGTTCAAGTCGGCCAAAAAATTGGACATGGGCGTTTCCTAATTCAGGAACATTATTATTGATCGTTTA